CTGAATCTGTCTATGGACCTCCTCCCGTAGATGGAACGGCTACGGACGGGGGCAATGACGTCGAAAGCGTTCTGCTGACAGAGGAATTTCATGTTTAATCCACGGACACAAGCCAAACGGATCCTCATCGCCCGTAAACAGTTCGGAATTTTCCTCAACCACGGCCCGTATTGACGATACATTACAAGACGGAAGTTTTCAGACACACAGTTCCCTCAAGACAGTGCCTGGATAACCTTCAGGCTTGATGGCGCCATACTTGCAACCAGCGTTCCCTGCTTTAAGTCAATCATGGCATCTGTGCCCTTACGAAAATCAGTTCACAATATTGTCTGCTCTACGCCTGGGCTGATCAGAATCGCGTGGTGCACGGACTTGTCGCCTAGGCGTATCGAGTGCGTTGACAGTCCGTCAATCTTCAATCGATATCCGCCAACGGCTCTCGCGGCTAACGCGCACGGTCTGTTTTCAGCTTGGTTCCCTCTTTGCCTCTGCGATACGCCTGCTCCGGTATCAAACAAACATAACTACTTTTTCCCGTCCACCTCGACAATGGCTTGTACTGTACCCTGTGTCAGTGCGCTAATCGCGACCCACCCAGGTAAAGAGGAGTACCCTAAGTTTTTATTGTGTACAAGCGATCGGTTACGGGAACACTGATTCTTCCGGTGGTCAGGCATGTCACACATGTAGCACCAGCTGGATCGAGCGTGCCTCCGCGATTCCGTCTTTACGGCTGCCAGCTGTTCCGTTAGTTGGTCCGCTTTGATCTGCAGTTCCTCCACTGAGGCAGCACCCCTGTTCTCCTCCGACTGCAAGGTGGCCAGTGGTTCCTTCGGCAGCTCCCGGGCCAGACGCACCAGCTCCTCAACACTCAACTGGCCAGTTGCTCGTGCCAACGGCAACTGGCACCAAGCGCGGGCTGCTCACCTTCGACGAACTGATCCGACAGCAACTGGTGTCGCGGCACTCCGTCCGGTGTCGGCAAAGCGTGATCCAACGACGGTAGCCGGCCGGCAAAGAACACGGTCGGGTCCGATCCGGGTGCCATCCTGGCCATCTTGAACCGTCCCATAGCCTTCTGGCGGACGGCCGGCGTGTCGAACTCCGCTTCAGGGACATCCATCGTGGCGGCCCAGTCCACTTTCCGAGGGCCTCTTCTGGCCGCATCCAGGGGCGCCTTCGCCCGGCCCATGAGGACGGTCTTCAGCGCAACCAACTTATCCCGGTCGGACTCCACCCGGCAGCTTCCGCGACCTCCTCACAGTCTTCCGGGAATGTCCGAACGTCACCATCCTCAGAGAGTTGCGGCCATGGGATCTTCATCTTTATCCTAGTCACGGCACCAAATGAAAGGAAGAAGGTCTTCGCTGCGGAGTTATTTATTCGGAAATGCCAACTAACAGGTTACAGTCCATTGAACAAGGTAGCAAAACTCTAATCTGAAACTTAGTTACAAAACCTGGACACAGAACTTCTCTCGAACGAGTCTTCCTGGAGATTCATTGCCTCCAACCATTCGTCGGTCAAATAAAAGCAAATGTTACAAAGTGGCCCCGCGAATTCCGCAACAGAATTCCATTTTTCAATCGACACAAAGCGAAATTCTACGAACAACACATACTATTCGCGTGCCTCCCGATCAGTGGTATCACCGTTACACAGGTACTGACCTAACTTTGATTTCAAAACGAACCTGTGATGTAATTGGAAGGGCACCAGTGGAACACACAAGGTGCACCCTTCGTAATGCGTCTGGTGGAAGCCTCAAACTGACCGGGAAGCTAAACTGCTCCGTAACATTCATGGATATTCAAGTCAATGGTGCTTGTTGCCTCATGAACTTTACAGGCCTTGATCTCTTAGGTCTGGATTGGATTAATGAGCTTCAACTCTTGGAGCAAACCCTCAAAGCTGCTTGTAATAAAACAACTGTAGGTGGCTACAATACGTTCACGAAGACACTACAGGTTGACGACTTTGTGTTCGCTACAGTTACAGCCAAACTGGAGACCAGTGGAAGCATACGCGACACAGCAGCTATTCAGCTCCCGGAGTTCGGCACCGGCAACATTCTCACTTCAGCCCTTTTGGCGAGTCCTGTCAGCAGTCTGCCGCGTTATACCCGCGGTCCGAACCCTTCAGTCTACAGTCATAGGTTCACGTGGATCGATACACTGCTATCGGGAAAGTCAAGAGAGAGTAGCCAGCAGACTAGACATCACAGCGGTCACACAGAGGCCAGAAACTGATATGAAGAATGCTGTCCGCGGTGGATGCAGTCGAACATTACGTCAAGCACGGGGTGCGAATCAGATCATAGGCGCGGCCAAGTCAAGAGAACCAATGTCAGACAACAGACTGTGACCCTGTAAGGAAAGCATGTCGCAGGGGACACCATACAGCCGTGACATACCTCCGAAATGGAGGTCATCAGATTCCAGGGACGACTTGACATGCAACAGCACCCCCATGAGTCGTCACAATTGAGTTCAAAGCAGTGGTCGGTTGAATAGCGTCCTCGAGGGGGAGGCTTAGGATTAATTTTGAGAATGAGGCTTGCCTCAGGTGACGCCGCGGGTGAATGCATTGGCTAGTAATGTATGCATATTTTTGCACACTCTTGTTTCCGTGCATCACGAGGTCAACTTACCTGCTGGGTTGTGAAGCAGCGCGTCAGGATTTGACCGAATACTGCCTTGAAACACATGAGCTCATCCCTCTTGGACAAGTCCTTTAGCGTTGGCTTATGGTTGGTTGTCACATCCACGACGATGCCGCGAAACGTTTCCCTGACGACGTGGCCAAGCTGAAGAAAGCGGGAAGAATAGTTGTGTGAGGTTATAGATAGACTATAAAAGATTGGTCGCACATCTAAACGAATCCCGTTAGATTTTTGGGTGGCTTCAAGAAACGGCCGCTAAAACATTGGACTGATGGTTTTTACCTGCTCCCATTCACCCTCAATACATAATCCCGAAGCAAAAAAATACTCTTACATAAGACGATCTTTCATCGTGGAGTCAGTTTCTTTGTTGAGATCAACTGGATAAGAAAAATGAAAATACAAACCTGAAGGGTACGGTGCAGCCTTTTCCAAGCGATTTCATATTCTTCCTCTGTGGCGGCCTGCACCAAGCGTCGCGACTTTGAAAACAAGTTCGCCTGGCAATAGGGCTTTTTATCTACAGCCTTCGGCTAGAACCAAGAAAAAAATGAGGAACACTTATTGGTAACGGGAACCCTGTCAATGCTGATTGAAAGAACTGACCGCCTAGACTACTCGCTATTACGAAAGAACTACATAAAATCACTCGGTTACAGCGTAACGCACATTCCTGACAAAATTCATTCCTCTGTACATCAGCTATGGGTACCTAGAACATCACTAAAATTTTCATGTATTTCTCTGAATATCTTAAGATGTGACTTGACTTTCATGTAGCAACTTGGTTTAAGCAGGCGATAATTTCTGTGCCCCTTTTAATGGTCAGTGTATAGCACCATATTCAGTCGGAGGGTCTACCATGAAGTCGACGAATAATTGCAAGCGGTGAAACGCTGGTCAGTTGGACTGATAGGTAGTCGACATCGTCAGTGTCCATGTTAGAGTTAGTCATCAGACGCCCGATGTGTATGATCTACCATTCGCTCGCTCTACAGTGTTTACGTAGACAGGTCGCTATTCATCTAAATCAGTGCCTATCTCTATAACTATCTATCTGTCTGCTTA